AGTGAGCTAGACGACTTGTTATCTAGGAGGGTGTCTTGACCCCTCCCCATCCCCCCTCCCCCAGGACCTAAATAGGAGGTTCAGCGAGGCGACGGAATGTCCAAAATGGTCTCGACGGAAAAACGAGAAACCATTGAGTTGATCTAAGTCGGTGTTTGGCCCATTTTGGCATCCTGATGGGGAGCTCTAATAGCGGAGCTCCCCTTCTTTGATCGATCTTCTCCAAGATGGTCCCAAAATGGCCTCTGAGGCTCCCAAGATTACCCCAATAGGGCTCCAAGAGTCGCCCAGTCGTCCAGGAGGCCAAATGAGGCCCCCCATTGGTCCCCAACAGTCTCCCAGGAGACCCCGAAGAGGCCCCAAGATGCTCTCCAGAGGCACCCAAGGCACTCCAAGAAGCCCCTCCAAGAAGCCCCTCGGATCGCCGAGAAGCCCACAAGACGCCACAAGAGGACCCCAAGCAGCTCTCCAGAGACACCTGGATAGACTCATGGAAGCATCAAAGAGGCATCTGGCCTTTCTGCTCACGGTCATCCGTTCCTCCCCCGACTCCTTCTTCTCCTTCTCCTCTTCCTCCTCCTGATTTCCTCCCCCGACTCCTCCTTCTCCTCCTCCTCATGATCCTCCTCCTTTCCTCCTCCTGCTCCTCCCGCCTTCCGCTTCCCCCCCTCCCCTCCTCCTCCTCCTCCTCCTCCTCCTCCTCCTCCTCATCCGATTCCATCTCCATCCCCCCCACTCTTGGGGTATGACGTCTTCCCCAAACCCTTGCTCCACATAATATTCCTCCACATCCCTGACCTGGCCAACTCGCCTGGGGGTCGTTTCTGGATGGGCTGGTCGGGTTACGCCAGGCGTCTCGAATTCATTGAGCCAGTCTCGTCCAGCTGCTGTTTGTATGCTCAGGAGCTTGGATCTGCATTCACACTCATCTGGGACGCCTGTAGTCCGCTGAGCCATACCCGGAGGTAGAAGGGAGGAAGCGAGGAGGTGAGGAGCAGGTGAGAAAGGGAGGCAAGGGAACCAGTGCAGGAGTGGAGGGGGGAGGAACTGATGGATGAGGACCGAGGGTGAGTGTGGCAAAGGAGGAGCAGTCTTCTCACTCCGTCGTTAGGAGCTTAGGGACGTCTGCTGTTCCTCGACTCGCCCTGAAGCTCCCACGACATGCTCCTGATCTATGTGGATCTCTCTCCAAGACGTCCGAAGAGGGGGGCGTCCAAGAAACGGGTTCGCAAATCCTGACCAACACATGTGCGCGGATGAGAGGGGACCAAGAAACGCATGGAAAAAAGAGAAGAAGAAGAAGAAGAAGGGGATATGAATTCGTGGAAGAGGTCATGGTTCCAGCCATGATCTCAAGCCAACCCCAATCATCACCTCCCTCCGGGACGCCCCGGAATCTCTGGACTGACGTATGTCTGCTGGGACTCACGGTCAATCCACAGAGGATACTTCGATGTACCTGACTTGATCCCCGAGATTCGATTGGAAGAGACTAGTCTTGTGGATGCCATGACAATGAACACTCTAACAATCCTATCATGGATTTGAAGATGTGTTAAAATGTGTACCGCAGGTTCTAAACATGTTTCAACCATGTGCTTAACATGTTTAAAACATATTTGAAGCATCTTCTAGACATCTGAAAATCATTTGGCAGCATGCTTCCTCTCCACTGATCGTCCTCCACAAGACTAGTCAAGACCTGGACCGCTGCCCTCGCCCTCCTCCTCCTAGTTCTTATATTCCTCCCTCGTTACACGCCCCTGCCTCTTCCTACCGCCACATCCACCCTCCTGGCCTCTCCCTCCCATTCCTCTCTTGCTCCTCGCCCTGGGCCTGCAACCACCGTGCTGCCACGAGCATCGCCGCAACCTCGGCCACGAATCAATTTCCGGACCTCGACAAGCAGAAGGGCCCGAAGCCCAGAGGCCCTCCCGAGTCCGGAAGGGCCCATATCTTCAGCGCTTCGAACGCGTCAGAGAGGACCGCTCCGCCAGAGAAGGGCTCCATGGCCACGCCGACGACGACGACGGCGACCCGTGTAGGCCAAGACGACGACGGCGACCTGTCGTCGTACGGCCACAGCACCGTCAGCGACGACTTCGATGTGGACGACGAGGAGCACTCCATCACCACGAGGGCAATCCAGGCCGCCGAACTTCGCGCATCGCGCCCCCCCCCCCCCGCGAGCATCTCGAGCGTAGCGCGATTCTATTCCCGCCCTAGGGGTGACCTAGTTTTTTCCCCCAGCGCGACAGGATGGCAAAGACAAATTGTATGCCTGAAATGATCCAACAGATCTGCGCAAATGTAAACGGTCATGGCTCTGCAACGTCAAGGTGCGCATGTCACGGAACACCTCTTGAAGGCGGCCCCCGTGCCCAGAGTGAATGGTACATGAAAGCGGCGCCCTGGGGGCGACCTAAGGAACGTGCACTGAGGGACACGGGTGCTTTGTGGCCGTTCCCAAACCCTGGGGGCCTCGGGGTAAGCCAAGAAATGGCTCAAGGCGCAACGCTGGTCCCAGAGAAGGCCGCGCTGGTCCTCAAGACGTTCTCCTTCATGCGAACCTTCAAGAACCTCCGATTCTGGAAAGCATTCGAAACCAGCCGAAACCCAACGATGCGGCGGCTTACACAAGGGGGTGGCGCAAGCGAGGGGCCTTCCAAGGTGTCGGGGGCCTTCTAAGCAGACCCCCCGAACTCTCAGAAGGCCGACATCCCTCGAGCTACCCTTTCGGTCGGACGCAAGGAGGGGTTAGTAAAGGGGGTGTCAGCGAAGCGGCTCACACAACTGGTTTTCTCTTGGCGCCTCCTGGCGCCCAAGGCGCCAGTGCATCGATAGCGCTCCGTGACGGTGCCAAGACCAGCTGCACGCGGCAGATTCAGTTCCGCCCCCCCCTTCCCCTATCCATCAAAGCCGCCGTCGACGCCGTCACGGTTTGGCGCCGACTGCGACTCATACAGTCGGACTCGGGTTCGCCGACAGGCTCCGGCTCCCTGATCTGCCGATCTTGTGGGCCACAGCGTCGGCGACCTCGGCAACGACGACCTCCACGACGACGGCGGCGGTGGCGACGGCTGCCTCGACACCGGCGAGCCCGAAGCCGACGGGGCCACGACGGCGGCGGCTCCCCGACCTGCCGATCTCGCGGGCCACGGCGGCGTCGACCTCGGCAAGAACGCCCTCCGCGTCGACGACTCGTGGCGTCGACGGCTGCGGCGGCTGCCTCGACACCGGCGAGCCCGAGACCGACGGCGGCCTCGACGTCGACGACCTTCGGCGCCCGTGACGAGCTCGAACAACGGCGACGACCTCGACGCCGAGGACTTCTGGCGCCGACGGCGTCCACGACGTCGACGACCTCCAGCGTCGACGACGACCTCGAAGACAACGACTTCGCCGACGCCGTCGATGACGGCTTCGGCGTCGACGACTCGACGACTTCTGGCGTCGACCCTGGCGCTGGCGACGACTTCGACGACGACGATGACGGCTCCTCGCCGTGCAGGCCCTTCAGCGTCCGGATCGGGTCGAAGCAGTGCAGGCAGAGCTGGTCGGAGGGATTCAGCTTGCGGCTGCACAGCTCCTTCCACGCGGCGGGCCGTGGCGACGAACGAAGACGACGACGAGGAACGACGGCCGCCCCGTCTCCTTCGACTACACGCAAGGATGACCCTAGGCAAGAGTGACCTTTGGTGCGCGGTTTTTGCGCGCAGGCCGCAGCTATCGCATCGCGCTCAGCGATCGGGGGGATCTCAGTGAGCCCGCACCAAAGGTCACTCTGGCGAAAGGTCACTCTTATTCGTACAGTCGAGGTTGATTCGAGATAACATGCGAGAGGACGCAAGAGCCTTACGAGGACCACGTTGCCATGAACAGGTAGAAGGCATGGGTGGCGAAACACGGGACACAAGGGTACCCTTGATTTGGCATGTCGACTTACTAATAAGCCTGGACTGCAGTGGACTCCTCAGAGCGTCCCACCCTCCAGCGGCCGCTTCCCGCCGGGAGAGAAAGCGATCGGGAGCCAGGGGCCCGGCCCGCCACTGCCGAACTAGGGGGAGCAGGAAGGGGCGGAGGAACGTTGGGGAGCACAGCCCCGCGGCGCACAGCCGCGCAGCTCGACATGAACGACGGACAACCGAGCGCGAACGTCGACGACGACGACCACGAAAGCGACGTGACAAGATGGAGGGCGGGGATGCGAAGGGACGGAGATGGTTTTGGGCGATCCACAGACGTGCTCGGGGTCTTGGTGGGCTCCTGGACACTGCGCGAGGGGAGGGAGCAGGGGGGCCCATACCTCGAACGCAGTGCTTCACGATGCACTGTGGACGCCTGGAGGTCTGCACCCGTTCCTTGGGACCCGTCCCTCCTCCCGAGTCGTTCCTGACAGTCTTGTAACCTAGCAATCGGCGGCGGGCGAGGGGGAGAAGTGACAGGGAGGAGGCCTTCTCAGAAGGCTCGGAAGTCCACCGGCCTTCTGACAAGTTGCCTTAGCCTTCCCCGAAGACACAGAAAACTTCTCAGAAGGCGCGAGGGCTTCTGAGAAGTCCAGCCGCCTTCTGAGAAGGCCTTCTCCTTATCATGTCCCCCCCTCGCTCGCCGCCGAGGTAGGGGCCCCCAGACGCTGAAAATCTGCAAACATTCAGTCCGTCGTGATCTGTTTCACGACGCAACAGTGTGGGTTCAGGGGTACAAGTCGTTCCGACCAGAACATCGAGGCGGATCCCGCCGTGGCGACTAGGAGCCTCGCGGGCCATCGGGGCCAAACACTAGATGTTTGTCAGGGCGTGCGCCCGTGTGCCCCAAATGGTGGGTCCGTGCACTGTGGATGTGTAGGGTCTGTGGTGCAAGACGTGTGGTGCAAGCTTTGTGTTGCAACCTGCGTTGCAAGCTGTGGTGTGAGCTTGGCGGTGCAAGCTATGTGGTGCACGCTACGTGGTGCAAGCACTGCGGTGCAAGCTAGACGGTGTAACTGTGTGGTGGAAGCCATGTGTAGGCGACGCGGTGCAAGCCACGTGGCGCAAGCTTGGTGGCGTAAGCCATGCATCGCATTACGCATGGTGTAATCAAGACATGCCATGTGAGCGACGGTGGGACAGCTATGTGGTATGAGCTAGGTGGTGCAAGCTTTCAGCTTAAAATAACAAACCAAGACGTGCGAGCACAAGCTTGGGGAGAGAAACGCCCACAACCTCCAGAGAGGCGGCGGAAGGGGAGGGGGATACCAGATGGAGAGGCGGAGCTGGCTGGAGGGGCCCAGCCCCAAATCGGCCCTGGAGGACCCCAAGATGGCTCAAGAGGCTCCAAAGGGGGCCCCAACACGGCCTACAAATTTTCCAATAATGCACTAGGACGACCCAGAGAGGCACCCGATACGACCTCCGACGGGCAAAGAGCTCCCTCAGACGGCCCATGAGGCCCACCGACCCCAGGAGGCATTCAAGAGGCCCTCCAGGAGAGCCCGAAAAGGCAAACACCATTAGTGATCCCGAGGATTTTGACAGAGTTTGAGGTTCTCGCTTGTTCGGGTTCCCGACTCCTCAGGACGGCCCAAGAGGCCTCCAAGATAGCATCAGGACGGCCCAAGAGGCGTCCAAGAGGGCCCATGAGGCTCCCATACATTCGAGAGAGGCCCACGGTGACGGCCAAAGAGGCCCACATGAGCGCCCAAGAGGCCCAAGGAGGCCCCCAAGAAGCTCTGAACTGCCGCGGGGCGTGAATTCGACCTCTCCCTCCACCATGCGGACGAAGGTGAGGACGACTTCACGATCCGTCCTAGTTCAAACCACTCGTCGGTTTTGTCGTGATGCGTGAGCTCGACAGGTCTTCTTACCTCGCCGACGAAGACGGGGTCGAGTTCATGCTTGCCACAATTCAGACTACTCACTGAACTGTCGAGGGGCGTAGACTCGACCTCCATGCTACCTCCTACCGCGCGGACCAAGACGAGGTCGAATTCACGAGCCGTCTAAGTTCAAACCGCTCGTCGAAATTGCTCGGTTGCTGCACTCAACCTCCGACCTGCGGCGCTGTTGCTTAGGGGCGGAGGCGGGGCTTGCCGCAGGCAGTTGCATTGATAAAATTCCATCCCGCAATGTTGGATACGAATGAGGGGGCGGAGGGGTCGTCGGCAGTCCGCGAAGCTCTGAAGAAGCCCGCCGCAAACGCCGATTCTTTTACACAGTCCATAAGAAGCCGGCCGCAAGCGCCGATCAATTCGTCAAAGCGCCGTGGGTGGGTCGCGGGTTGGGTCGCGGGGTGGTCGCGGGGTGGGTCGCAGGTGGGTGGCCGGCAGGTCGCGGGCGAGGACGACGACAACAAAGCAACAACACAACGCAACAACGCAACCACAATCCGCACCGCGGAACGCCACTTCAGCCACGCACCCAGGGAAAATGAATGACGGGTTGGCCCCCCCACTCTGATCTCGCCAGATGTACAGCTCTTCAAACGTGCCCGCCTCAGCACTCACAACTGCAAAGCCCTGCACACGGTGGCTGCGTTTGAGATGACCGTGCACGGTGCAGTGCCAGGCTCTGAGTCGACAAGCCTCGCGCCTCGCGCCGCGCGAGGCGCCAAGCTCGCTTGCCTTCTCGCTCTCGCGCCGCCGCCCCGAAGAGAGAGGAACAAACCTCTCCGACCGAGACCGCGGAGCACGACCCGGGATTTGCTCCACGCTTATCTTCGCGCCCGGGTGTCCCGGGCGCTGTCAGCTTCGCGCACAAGGTGGTACCGACGGAGGGGCTGTCTTCTAAGAAGGGGGGGGCTTCTTACAGGGCAGGGGCCTTCAAAGGAGGGCCCAGAGGCTTCCACTGAACTGTTTTGAAAGCTGGGAAGGCTTCAAAGGGGCCACCTGCCTTCTCAGACGCCCTCCCTGCCTTCTTAGGCCGCCCCAGCCGTGCAACCACCTTGTGCGCGCCGCCAACCGTCACAGAAAATCCCCCTTTCGTATCATATCCGGCCACCTGTATCCCCCCCCACCCGTCCGGCGCCCGCCCTCCCACGTCTCTTGCTCGATCGAAAAAGAAGTAAGAAAACGCAAGGGACTACAGCTTCAGCTCCTGCGTGCCGCGAACAAGAGAATAGCTAGGCCTCCCTAACTGATGCCTCGTCCAAGCAGATGCCTCTACGAGAAGCTTAGTACAAGAAAGTTCCAAGCATGCCTAATGATATTATGATCCAAGATCTTGTGTAGCGTTCTTCTCGCAATGCAGACCCCCGGAAATCTGGACTGTTTCTCTGGGGCGAGAACTTCACGCCGAGCTTTTTCCTAACGCTCCTGCGGCCCAGTGTGGCCCCGAGAATCTGAACATCGTCGAGCACCGTCCGGTCCTACTCCTCCCGCTTATACGGCGGGTTGCTGTTTACTACGTGGGCCCTAGTCGCCGGCACCGCATGCGCCGCTTGAACACGACTAGGATCCACTAAAGCAGAACCCAAAAACAACAAGCGAAGCAAAACTTTGACACACACACACACAAACAACAACATGCGCCATAAAAAGGTATGCCAAGTTGTGCGTCTTGGGGGAACAGTCATTGCTGCACGTTTTGTCGGCGCTGACTCCAATTGTGTCCCCATACATGCGAATCAATATTGCCGCTTAACTTCATGGTGCGTTGTTGTGTTGCGCATGGTCTTGAATGTTATTGTGTTTGCCGCGCCGCGATTTTGCTGTTACGTTGCTTTGAATACATCGGTTCACGAGCTCTTTTTGCTTCCCGGAGGCCACACCTCTGAGCTAGAAGTCGAACACGGCCCCCGCTCTCGGAGGTCCCCCGAGTCTGTTCACCGCATCTCCCGTACATATGGATTCCGTGCCTGGTAGGTTGGTCTGTTTCGGCCCCAGGGCCCCCAAAAGAGCCCCACAGAAGCGTTCAGCCTTGAGCCACCGCGCTGGCGTCGCCGCCGCGCCGAGGCGGCACGGAGCTGCCGTACGTGTCCCCCTGGGCCAGGTCCTTGTCCAAGACGTAGTGGTCGAACTTGTCGCCGTTATGGGCGATCATAGCCAGCCGCGAGAACTTCCTGCCGGGCGCCCGAGGTGCACGAGGGCAGCCGCGGGGGCCGAGCGGAGACCACGCGCGAGTCCAACGAGGGAAGAGGCGAGGCTTGGGCGGAGCAGGAAGAGTCGGAGCCATCAGCCTGGACAGCCGGTGGGTCTCAACCTCGCGGGACAGACTCGGGTCTCTTCTGACGAAGAGGCTGTCGCTGCTGGCGTGCGCAGTGGCGGCACGGGGGGAATGCCCGCGGGACAAGTGGCCGAGGATGGGGAGGGAGAGGGGGGGGCGACGGAGGACAGCAAGATACTGGACCTAGAGGTGCAAGCTAGTCGCCAGCCAACTCTCTGACGCTCGGAACCGCGAGCTGCCCTCTTACGCACAACTCTCAGAGGAAGAGGGGCGGAGAAGTTGGAGTAGAAGGAAACGAAGGAAGAGGAGAGGGGCATGGGAGAGATGATGATGAGGATGGGGAGGATGATGAAGGGCAGTGAGAGGGTGGAAATGAGGACTTGGACAAAGAGCAGAAGTGGAGGAGAAAACGTAGGGGACGATGAGATGGAGGATGAAGAGAGGAGGGGGAGAAGAGGGAGTAGGAGAAGGGAGAGGTGAGCAGGGAGTAGGATCGAGGAAGGAGGGGAAGGAGGAGGAGAAGGGGAGAGTGAGGAATAGGACAAAGGGAGGAAGAGAGGAATATAGCAGAGAGAGAAAGAGAACTACGCAGGGGAGGTCTTGGGAGGTCCCCAGAATCCTCCGAAATATCCATGGACATCAAGAAGCCTCAAGAGGTCCGAAACATGCAAACTCCGGGGGCACTCTACAGAGCCGCTGATTGGGAACTTCGAGGGCCAGATGAGGGCGTCCCAAGAGAAACGATGACGGCGAGCAAACGGACGAAACGAACAGGCCATGTCCAACTGCTTAGCTCCTTCAAACAAAACCTAACCGGACAAAATCAAGAAACGTCGTCTTTGTCCATTGGGCTCGTGAAGAATTGTCGTCGTGCTGGTCTTCCGTGCTGGTCTGTCGTTCTGCTGTTACAAAATGCTGTGATGCTGTGGCCTGCCGTCATGGTCTGCCGTGCTCCTTGGTCTGACGTGCCGGTCTGCCGCGCTGCTGAGTCTGTCATGCTGGTCTGCCATACTGAAGCTGAAGCTGTGGGGGCCTAAAGCCAAAGAAAAGAAAGAGAGACAATATGGTCGGCCGTCCTGCTGCGCTGGTCTGCCGTGCTCCTCTAGTCTGTCTTGCTGATCCGCCGGACTGGTGCCCTGCTCCCATCTTCTGCCGTGCCCGCCTACCGTGCTACTCTGGCTGCCGTGCCCGTCTGCCGTGCTGCTGTGGTCTGCCTTGCTGGTCTGTCGTGCTGGTTTGCCATGCCGCCGTGGTCTACCGTGCTGTTCGTGCGCCTGTTTAGCAACACCTGCTGGTAGCACCTCGTTGCGATCATTTGTAAGCTGTTCAGTGAGAGTCAGGCCGGTGAGCGAAGAGGCGTCGACAACATTTCGTGCTGGATCATGCTGGGGGGTCTGTAAAGAAGGAAATTCTGCCATCCTGGTCTGCCGTGGTGCTCTGCCGCGTTGCGCATGCGATACGCTGTGTCGCCTGCTCTATGTGCTCAATGCTTCACGCTGTACGCTGTGTGTCGACTCCTCCACCACCCCTCCGCGCGGCTCGTCGAGGAGTGCACCCCCCTGGAGCTATGTGGTTAGGAGGTCGGCTACGCCACCACTCATACGGGGAAGTTGGTAATACTCAGGGCTGGAAGCGCGGCGGACAGAATGGTCAGAGTAGGGAAAAGAGAGCTCGCGCGGGCCTTTCAAAAACACAAAAAAAAACGTGCCCCGACCACACAAATCAGAGACGTCGTGGTAGCCCCAAGAGGAAGTTCCCCGGTTCCCATACTCCCGATCCCCCTAGGCTCCTGCGCCCTGCTGCTCCCTCCGCGCTGCTGTTCACTGCCGGCTCCTGCTGCTGCTGCTCCTGCCCCAGCTCCTACTCCCCCTGAGCGAGACAAACACACAGTTGCGCTACAGTCATCGTGATGCCATAAGCGAAGGGGCCCTTCTCCATACTTTCTGGAGGTTCGTCTTCCCCCCCCCTTCCTGGAGATCGACGACTCATCGTGTCTGTGTGCTTCTTCACCTCTGTGGGCTTTGTGGCCTCGGCAACCCTCCTAAAAATTGGAACGAAGGGGCTCTCCTGGCCACGGCGACCCTCGGCCACGCAGAGGCACCCAAGGAGCAGCACGAACACCGTGGCCAGTCCTGGGCCGCAGGCGGTCCTTATTTCAACGCCCGGACGGTAGCAGGCGTCCTGAAGATCATCGCCCGCCGTCCGCGTCTCGTGGCCCCCAGCTGGGGAACCGCTCTTCTCTGGGATGGCCGGGGGGCCTGTCGGGGCGGACGAAAGGGGGAAAGGTGCAACAAGCGGATTCGCACGTCAGCGCACGTAGCTGGCTTCTCCGGCCCCTCCTGGCGCCAGAGGCGCCAGAATATCAGGGACAGCGCCTGGCGGCAGTTCCGGAACCGGTCAACCGAGACAAGCAGTCAAGTAAACCCTTACCCCAAGCAAACAACTCCGCCCAAATCCGCTCACAATCCGTCACCCGACTCCACCGGCGGTCCAGCCTGACCCATTGTCCGAGACGGACCCCGCCGTGGCTACGAGAAGCCTCTCGGAGGCCCCAGAAAGAACGGAAAAGAGCCTTGGAGGGCCGGCGTTGTCTTGACTGGAGGGCCCTCCTCCGAGTGGGGGGGGGGGCTGTCACGGCAGGAACAGAAGAACCGGGTGCTACATGTTCAGTCCTCGCCCCCCTCTTTGGCGCCCCCGAAAAGAAGGCCATCAAGAGAATCTGGCGCGGCGCCGGGGTCCCAGCAGCCCTCTTGAGGAATGGCATGATCTGCGGCGGCGCAACCCGTCGTTCGCAGCACGTCGGCTTGGATAGATGCTCCCTCCAACTGCTGATCCTCATCCTTCTGACGAGCGGACTCCGAAACTTCCTTCTTGAGCCTCCACACTCATGATGAGTATCCCGGCAAGCGAAGCCCTGCAGTAAACACACCCTAACATGGGATCGACCAGGGCAGGGATGAATGCTCAGCAAGCGCCAGTAATGGGGGGGGTCAGGCTGTTTTTTTTCCTGAGGCTGAGGCGACTGCGGGTAGGGGACCTCGTCCCACCGCGGCCCCTGCTCCTGAGGTGGGTGGGCCGCGATTCGGGGTGTTCTGGCCTGGGTCGCCCTTGGCTTGGGCGAGAGGGGAGATGCAAGGCGAAGCCCGTCCATGTTCCATGTCCTATCTCCCTCATCATCCGGCTCCTCCTCCTTCTTATCCTTCTTCTCGCACGCAGCTGCTTCCAGGCGTCAAAATGAGTGCTGCGCGGCTAAATCCGATATCGAACCTCAGGAGAATGGATGTTCGACATGGCCACTTGATTGTGCTTTGGTCCCAATCATGCGCCGCCTGCCCAGGTCCCCAAACGTTGGTGCAGACGGGAAGGTTGGATGATGTGGCGAAGAGTTTCGGCTCTTGTATTATCGTTGGTTTTGTCGGTATGTGGACGGACATGGTGGTGGACAAAACGACGGATGGCTAAATTCTGGGAGCTGCGATGGGAGAGGGGGGATCAGCACTCTGGTCTTTCGTTGCTCATTCATCGTGCTCATTCAAATGATGGCTGTATTCGGTACGCCTTGGTCTTGGGGGGGAATTCTTCGTGGTATGGTTGGCGAAATTCGCCTCAAGACGCGAGCAGGATCAGTGTGTCATTCCAGGTTGCAGATTTACGCTACCACAAAAGGAGAATGAGAAACAACGAAACATGAGATTTTACGATTGGATTGACGAAGTCGTTGCGTCGCTTCCTCATCGCTGCATCCCTGTGCTGCTGTTGGACTCGAATGGGCACCTGGGCCTAGATAGGGTGCGAGAGAGCCTCTGCCGCAGGCCATCGGCATTGTACGGTCGACTCCAGCTCCAGGCATGCAGTGCCAATGGTGGCTATCCACAATAAAATGTGACAAACACGATCTGTCCGTTGCGGACATTCGCCTTACCCAACAACCGCAGCGCTCCAACCACAATGAATTTCATCGCGCCTCATCGGAACGTCCAGTGCTGTTCGGTTCGTGTCTGGCACCGGGCAGGAGATGCTCTGCCGAATGCTCTGAGTCGTTCGCCCAGGGATCACCGACCACTGGCTGCCGATGTGGTGCTTGTTTCCAGGTGCGCGGCGCAATCGCTGCCGCAACGGTGGGACCACGATAAAATCAATTCACGTATTTTCACTGGGACCGTAAGAGAGGCTTTCATTTCCAAAAGTCGAGTCGACACTACGCGAAGTGCAGGGTAGCATTCAGGAGTCTGTCCAGTGACCACGTCCTGACAAACTGCAACGGACGGTATGGGATGTGGTGTGGACGTATGAACGGAATGTATTTGGAAGGTGTGGGCCACGACGGGAGAGACATCACGGAACAGACACGGAAGAGGAGGAGCGGGACATACGGAATTGACAACAAGAAAGGTGGGAGGCACGGAAGGCGTTACGACAAGCTACGGAGGAGCAGGAGGAAAGAGCACTTGCACGGGCACGCACCGCGCCGCGGGAACTTCGCCGACTCGAGCGAGTGCGATGCACACGACGGTCGAGGACCTTGGTGGCCGAGCTGCAAGAAGCGTGGAGCCAGCGCAACTATCATCGTGCCTGGCAGGTGCCGCGACAACTCAGTGACGAAGGAGTGTCTCTCCCGCTGAACTCCTGGCGCACTACGCACAATGAGGCTCTAAAGCGGGGTTCAGAGAGGCGTGGTTGATTTTGACCGCCTGGTGCAAACCAGGGAAGAAGAAACCGGCGCTACGCAGGTTGCTGACGCAGCCATGGCATCGGGAGAAGGTCTTGTTCGAGCAGGCGAATCGTTCCCGCATACGAAACGACACATACGAAGGGCCGCCTTCCGCAAAACACCACCGAAATGGGGATTCCCTGGGATCTGGAGGTTGTTGTTGTGTCGTGAATCTATTCGGGATCGCTCGAGGCCGTTTACTGGAACTGCGCCATTCACAACAGACTATGTAACAGCTGCACGTTGACGCAAACATCGTCTGAGACTCCCCTGCTTTGGCACAAACCGTACTGTTTACATCTACCGAACCCCAATCGCAAAAAAACGGGTTGGGAGGACAACGAGCGGTTCATACAGCGGACTCATACTCTGAAGCGTTCTACCAACCTTTATGGGACAAGGGGGAACACACCTACAACCGAGATTGAGCTTGTGGGTATGTGCGACACCGTGGACGGGAACAAACCATCTCCACGGTCGCGATTACCCGCGCCCGGCTGGCGGATAATCGACGGTGCCATTCTTCTGACTTCGTGGATCTATCGAATGCGTTTGCTTGCCAGCGGCACGGCGAGGATCTGGAACCGTGTGCACCTCGCGCGTTTCGCAATCTTGTTGATCGCAAGCATGTGCGCCAGCGTCTGGAGCACGCGTGCACCGTCATCGACGATTCCACCGGGGGGGACCGAGTATACAAAGCGGGCACCGGCATCATCCCGGGAGATTCCATCGCTGGCCCATGGCTCTTGGAACCTTACCACGCATGTCTGGATGTGCCGCTCGAGTGTCCGTGGGGTGGAAGCGTGTGGGAGGATGTGGGGGAGGAAGGATGCACCGTGGACACTCCTTTACAATCTTACGCAGGCGACTCTAGCAAAATACATCAAATTTCAAATGCTTCGGACCTCCGTGGGAAATCGCATAGATATGCCAGGACATGCACACGTGTTCGCAGAACGGAATGTCCAGCACAATCCTGCGAAGTCTGAGACTCGTTGACTAAGTTTTGTGGTGCTGGGGCAGAAGAATACACTAGATCGGCCTACCAAGAAGAATTCGCCGGCCCAACGGGCCAGGGCGTGCTAAGATCTCCGGTACCTGGTTAACAGTATTTCTAGTTCGCGCGCGCGGGGCGGCCCCTGGGGGTCCCCGGGCGAAAAGTACCCCAGCAAGGTCCCGGCAAGTCCCCGGCAAGGTCGGGTCAGAGATGCCGGAGTTCTGTTTCGGAGTCCAAGAGGGCTCCAGATCGGTCCAAGAGGGCCCCGAGAAGCTTTCTAGACGGTCCAAGAGAGGCCCGAGACGGCCAAAGATCGCCCGAAGACGCCCCAGATGGCCCCAAGACAGCCCAAGAGGCCTCCAAGACGCTCCAAGGGCCTTCCAAGAGGCCTCCGAAGAGGGCCCCAAGTTGCCAAAATCGTTGATTTTCATTTGTTTTTTCTATGTTTTTTTGCGTTCTGGCCTTTTCGCTTCCGGACGCTCCAAGAGGGCCCAAGAGGCCTTCAAGACTGCTCCAAGACGGCCCACGAGGCTCCCAAGACGGCCCCGGAGCGGCCCAAGAGCGCCCCCCAGACGGCCCAAGTGCTGCCCAAGGCGGACCAAGAGGCCCCAAGACGGGCCCAAGAGGGGCTCAAGAAGGGAACCGAGAACTGAAAAATCGAGCCCTCCGCCCCAGAAGGCGCCCAGGACCCCGAAAGAGGCCCCAAGAGACTCTCCAAGACACCCCCAAGACGCCCCAATAAGCTCCCGTGAGGCCCCAAGAGGACCAACAACGTCAGGCCCCAGGCCCCAAGAGGACCAACAAATACCGCCAAGAGCCCGCCGAAAGCCCCCCAAGAGACCGTCACGAGAGCTCAGGAGGCCCCCTGGAGGCCTCCCGAGTTCTCCAAGAGGCCTAAAAAGAGGCGCCAAGAGGCCCCAAACGGCCCCACCGAGGCTCCAAGAGGCCACGAACGCGCAAGCAAACGCCTGCGATGGCACAATACGGGCCGGCGGAATGAGCGAAGCGATTAAATATATGTTGCCAGAGGCTATCTTGCATGCTGCAACGTACTTGGGCATACATTTGTCTGCTGGAGCTTCCGTGGCTTTCGAACGGGGCAAACGACTCGAGGCGATACGACTGGGCGATGGGGCACTGGGTAAATTCTGGGAACGTTCGCCACGCCGACGGTGGAGCAGAATAGTGTTCCAATGCATGGTGTCTAGGGCCGGGCTCAATGGCCTGGATGCGCTTGTTCTCGCCGATACGGACACACGGGCGCAGGACAGAGAGCTCGCCACCCTTGCCCGGAAAAGGCCATACGAGGAGCATGCGACGCAATCCCACAAGACGACGGGTCTACAAAATACAGAGCCTGGACAAACGACAGGGTGCGTCGGGAGCTGGGCCTCGTACCCATCGAGCTTCGGCAAAGACGCCTCAAGATGTGGCGACGTGTTGTCCAGCATCCAGGCGAATACACATGTTTCATTGCCGCATGTTTTGGAGATTTGCCCAGAGACGTCCAACCTACACTCGACGGTGATGGCAAGATGCGCGGTACTGCGCACAGATGGGCCTTGCAAAGGGCTCACGATCCCTGGCCCCTTGCATTCGCTTCGGGAAACCAAAAACCATTGCCTTTTAAGAATGCACCGACCGACCTTTGCAATTATTTTAATCGCGAATGTGCCGTGCAACATTTCTGGAATAATATGGTGTATACAATCATCGAATGTGGTGTATTTTGCCGGGGTGCCCCGCTCCGCTTCTAACCCGGCGCCACACTTGCAGTAGCAGCAGCCCGATCAGGAGCAGGAATACAAACCAGAGGAGCAGAGGGCAGATGGGGGGCCAATATCGGGGGAGAACGGGGAAAAAGCATGGGAGTGCCGACTTACGTGTGATGATGGTGCCGTGTGTCACGGACTCTTTGGGAATTAACAGGCAATGCGGATGCATCATATACATTCTTCGCTTGGGGGAGGTCACGGCTTCATGGCACTTGCTGCGGCGCTCGCCCGTGTCAATCAATGATGCGCGTGCCGGGCCATCCATTCATCTGAAAGCAGTACGAGACATCATCGGCGAATGAGTTTGCAACGAGGGTTCAGCGACGCCCGATGGGAGAGAGGGAGTGTAAGTTGTCAAGAGATCAGTGTTCCCCCTCCATATTATTGCCGCATCTGCGATTCTGAGTTCGAGTCTGCCACTCCTTTGCCGTGGCATCTGGAATCTCACTTACCGAACACATGTCATATCGATTTGGGGGAATTCCCAGACGGGTAGAATGGCAGAAGCGACATGGACAGCCTTCCTGGGGGGAAGTGCCGCGGACCCCCCGCGAAAGAAGCGGGGCACCAACAACGCTGACGACGCGGACAAAATCCGGGAACTCCTGTCCATCTTCGTGAAGCTGTGCCTCCAGATGAAGCAAGAGGTACGCATGCTAGTGGTAATCGTGTTCATCTGCTTCCGAGTTGCAGCAGGTAGCTCGGCAGCGCAGGGAGTCAAGAAGGCATACAAGATCCACGCCGACCGCACGAAGGTCAAGGGTGACCACGATGAGGGCGGGCCAGACTCATGGGCATTCATAACGTTGCTGATTGAGGCACGTACGTCAAAACATCCCCGACAGGGGGATCTCGAGAAGATCCATCCCAGAGGCGGGCCTACAAACGACGAGCTCAAAGAAGCCGTCCCGTCCAGCAAGTGACAGAAGATGTACAACTCCGACCACCTGAAGCTTTTTCATGCGTGTGCATCCATAAGACGTTGATTTGGAGAATATAGTGATCGAACACCTCCGGGGTGTGACATGCAAAGAGTACTTCGGCCAGGCCTCCCTGGGAGCCCTGGAGAGGAAGGCCCCGGACCTCTCAACGGATCTGAATCTCGATCTGGGTAACGAGGAGCAGGCGTGAGGTGCGCCTGGTGCCTCGGCTGTGCTCGCCGCTCCCCTTGGCGTGCTTGGCCAGGCACGCTCGGTCGGGGGCGCTCCCCTAGGCCTGGGGCCAAAGCCTTCAGAAGTTCGAGTAGCGACCCGATCGCTCTGCCTGGCTCTGGGCGCACGGAGTCCATGCGCAGTTCCCCGCCGCCGCCGCCTTCTTCACGCATGGCGCAGGTGGCGCTCTGGGCGCCTGAAGAACTGCATACTTAACGCACGTAGCCCTCCTGGAACATCTGGCGGGGCGCACGTGGGACGCGTGGCGCACCTGTCATCTGCGGGGTGCAGCTGTTGCGGCGGGAGGGCGGGCGCGAGTCAGCGAAACAACTTGTGGCAATCCTGCTGGGAATTTGATTATTACCCGGTATTCTCCCGGGGAGTCTTCAAGATTGCCCCAGATAGCCAAGCTTTGCCTGTGAGGTGGCTCAAGATTGCCTGAAATGGCCTGGATGGCCTCCTACATTGCTCAAAGGCGCCTCAACATGGCTGCGAGGTAGCCCCCGACCTCCAAAACATATCGCCAAGCAATCACACATTTCAAGACAATATGCTAATGTGATTGACGCGTGATGTTTTATCACCATGTCGGCTTCTGGTCGGCCTCGAATGGCGCCAGGTGGACTCACTATGACCCGAGTGAGCCCAAAAAAAGAACCAACATAGTATCAAAAATCATCAACGTCCCAATGGGGCACTTCAACGAAAACGAAAACAGAAGACCGTCATCGCCTGGAGGCGGCCCAATGGCGGGCGACGGGCGCGCAAGGCCATGTGGGGCTCTCAAAAAGTGTCCCAATCAAGATGCAATTTATCGGGCTGATCCCAACATCGGTTTGAATTGCATTCCGATTCCTTGTTTCACCTCTGCTCGACCTCTTTCCTTCATTCAGCAACTCAAACCTTGAAATCGTTCTGAATGGGCCAGTGCAGAAGCGGCCAGCGCGATACGCAAAGGTGTGTGTGTGTGTGTGTTTGTGGATCTGGTAGGTCGACCTGGTGGAGAGATGGCTGTGGCCATGGGAGCGACTGCGGTCGTGATCGTGCAGGAAGCATATGGTAGATGTTGCCATTGTGGTGCTGGTGGCGGTCACAGGTGCTGCATCGGCCTGTAGTACTGGTGGTATGTTTGAAGCCGCATTGCTAGTGGTTGCGTCATTAAATGTGGTACGAGTGGCGGTCGATCCCTCGTCCTCCCCCTTCCCCTCTCCCTCTCCATGTCCCTCTTCCTCTCCCTCTGCTCTCGCATGAATCTCGATGCTCAAAATATACATATGTGTATATGAACAGCAAGCATATATTTTACACTTATAAGTGTCCCTCTCTGTCTGCGTCTCTCCCTCTCTCTCTCTCTCGTTATCCCTTCCTGTTTCTCGTTACATCGCTGTCTTTCTCTCTCGTACCCTATATATAGTCATACATCTCATACATAATGAGTGTATAGACGTATCCCTGCCATTTCCTCTGATTGCTGTTACCCCTCATGTTCCCTCCATCCCTCTCCTCCGCCAAAGGAATGACGAGCTGCATACACACAGAGTGTGGTCTCCAACATCGATCCAAGAAACCCGCGCGGACCGCCAACATTCTATGGCTACGCATCTGTCTTCGATGGCGCGGATAACGATGATACAGAATCGGAGTAGGCGCGGAAGGAAGCAGAGAAGGGAGAACGAAGATGAGGGCGATGTCAAGAATAATCGGGTGGATAGCTTGGGGAACGAGCACCTACCGATGCTGCTACTCCTCGAACCTCTCCCTCGCGCGCTCCGACCAAGACCTCGAGGCGAATCTGGCCGTGGCGACGGAGGACGGGCAGCGGCAGCGGCACCTTCCCCTCCTCTGGGGGCGAGGGTGACGGGGGCCGCTCGCACATGCACGGATGGACCGAGGAGGCAAGGAGGCAAAGGGTAACCCGCCCCGACCCGGAGCAAAACGCCCGCGGGCAGGAGCGCGAGGAACCCGCCGCTGACCGGGGTGCGCAGAGGGGCGCCGGCGCAGGCGGGGGCAGAAGCGCCAGGGGCACCGCCGGCCTCCTCCCTCCACCTGTCCTCGAAGTGCGGCAGGCTCATGTCTTTGATGATGGCGTCGTGCCCGTGATCCTGTGGCGTGCCAGGCATGCACGCCCTGCTCTTGCGCTGGCCACGGCAGCATGACAACGCCGCCCTGTCGACAGCAGCCGTGGCCGTCCCTGTCGTCCCACGCCGTGGGGCGCACACGGACACAACACCCAGTGCTATCGGGAGGCGGACGTCCGACCCGATTATCGTGCACACAGATGGTGGTGCAGTGAACTCCAAGCGGCACGCGAAGGAAGCAGCGCAAGAGCTCACTCGGCAAGCGATTCTGGCAGGGGCCGGCGGGCACGTCGTATAGATGTGTACGTCTGCTGCCGAACCTGCATCGCAGACAAAAGCAGATCGAGTATGACTCGGCTTTGGGAAGGCTCGAACCTGCCAGGCGGGGCCGTCAAAGAAAGGCGCGGCCTGGTCTGGAATCTGACGCGAGCTCCTGCTGCCAACCCGCCACGAAAACCAGACCGTCAAAATTCACGCCAGGATAATCAACCACTAGTGGCACCTCCCCCGCGGTGGCCAGAACTCCGCCAGACATAGGCGATCGAAATGTAATCCATGTGACTGCTGCACCATCTCACTGTAGGCGCCACCGAGGGTAGGGCATGGATAAAAACTTGACCCCCAGGGGCTGGGATTATATCTATGCCCCCGCTGTGGCCCCTCTTGTGGTTGGGGCGCCAGCATGTGTAAAACCTCCGTCGCCGAAGACCCTCGAGCCCGGGCGCAACAAAATCGAAAACCTAGGCGATTCGACTGCGGGTCGAAACTCCACGGCTCTCGAATCCGCGACAAGGCAGGAGGGTCCTACAATCAACCTGTACAATGAGAGTGCACGGAAAAGATGCAAGGGCCTGGGAAGGCCACGCCGCCACTTTGCGAGCGGGGCGCGGCCAGCGAAAGCGACCAAGGATGGGCCGAAGGGGAAGGATGCAACCGCAACCTTGGAAAATCGCTCATCCTTACTTATGCAGGTTGACTGTAACCACTAAACTAGCAGAGGGCGAACCCGGCTCAACCAATTTAGAAGAACACTGCGCTGCTTCCTGAACCCGGCTCAACCATCATGTACGGCCACCTCCAGGCTCAGCCCAACTGTAGCTTCGTCGGGCGTGAATTGATGGGGGGGGCTATGAACGTATACATGGGGTGCACTTTTCGGGCCCTGAAGGCCCCCTGTTGGGCTCCTCTCTGCAACCCTCGCTGCCCCCTCGTTTCTCGCTCCCCCATTGCGCGACACTCGACCTTGCAGGATCCTGCAGGAGTCGGCGCTCTGAGCCCAATATGTGCTGCACCCTGCTACCTGCCTGCGGAACACCGCCCGAGGGGCCCGTCTCTGGCCCTGGCACCGGCAGTCCACAGCCCACGGGGCGAGATCCCCGCGAAAGACGGGGCCGCCAGCCTCGAAGCCGAACTCGACCGAGCCCGCATCTACAGTCTAGGACAGAAGAACATCCTCCAAGAACATGGGACCCTCCGCAGGCCAGCTGAAGAACATTTGAGGGTACCCTCCCCTAAGATACACAACGCCATCCAACAAACACGAAGACCGTAGGACCCCGAACCGACTTCGATCTGATGCCTGTCCGACCGAACCGGAAGCGGCCGCGAGGGAAACAACGGGGCGACAACGACACCAACTCCGTCCACACCGAACCGGCCGAATGCAACGGATCGCGACGCCGCCGAACTGACTGAGCCGCGACCTCATCTTTCTGCGGCACTTCTCGAACACGATCGACCTGCGGGGGTCAAGGGGCCCGAAACTGGGCGAAAACGCCCAGCGTGAACAGATACAACGCCCAGATCCCAAGGCCAGAAAACCACGCAGCAAAGGTTACTCTGGCGAGGGGTCCTTCGGCTTTCGGCTCAAGACCAGGGTCTCCAGCGACCGTTTGGCTCCAGACCTGTGCTTAGTGCGACTGTTTGGAACCGTGCGTCTCATGGAGAAGACTCCACTTGCTTGAAACAGGCGCCAAAATCAGCCAAGGTCGACTCCATGGAGAGTGAAAGGGGGGGTGCGAGGGCCCGCGCCGATCGGCAAAACAATGAATAAGAAAACGACGACCATACACGGTCGGAAACGCTTGTTCCACGCACCCCCTGGGGGGGGGGCAGGAGGAAGGGGTGGTTGAGAGGGGGAGAGAGGGGAAGGGATCGGGAGAGGAGGGAGAGGGGGAAGGGAAGTTGGAGAGGGAGGACGGCGGGGGGGAGGGGGGGATCGGGACAAGGAGGGGATGGAGGGAGGGAAGGGGGAGAGATGGAGGGAGAGGTGTGGAGGGAGAGGTGTGGAGGAAGCACAGGAGGGGGCGTTGGAGAGGACACCTCTTCTGGCAACCGCTGGGCCGCGGCTCCTCGGCAAACTCCCGCGCCGCCGGCGACTTCACCTCCGCACCACGGCGGCGGGCAGCAGGCGCCCGGCCGCACGCGGAGCGGGGCGGGCTCGCTGGCGAGGGTCCCGGCGAGACGGCCCAACGATTGGCCCCGCGCACGGACGCTTCGGCTGTGGGCTGCTCAAAGTGCCCCCTGGCCCAAGGTACCCCCAGCTTTCCGCTCCCATACTGGAGCCCCTCGGGCCCCCTGGGCCTCGTGAGGGGCGCTCTGGAGGCCGTGGGGGCCTCCTTGGAGATCCCCGAGCCACCTTGGGCCAGGGGCACCTCTAGCAACACCTGATTAGGCGCCAAGGTCGATGCTCCCTGGCCGTCAGAACAACGGGATCGAGTCGGATCGAGCCGGACAGAACCGATATCGCGTCGGATCGTTCGGACCTGACCTCCCAGACTGGTCAATGTTCTTCTTAAACCTCGTGCCACACTTCAGTGTGTGTGTGTAAGTGTGTGTGTGTGTGTGAGTGTGTGTGCGTGTCCCCTGGTCCACCTTTGGTGGTCGACGGACGTGCGCAGGCTGATCTGCTTCTCTGCACCGCGAGGGCTGGGGCAGATCCCCGCGCCCCGCAGGGCACGCGGGCTCCCGCGTGGCAACGGCCGTAGGGTCCAAACGCACCAATTTTCCGAGGTGCGTCCAGCCGTGGCAACGAGTGGGACCCCCAGGCCGTTTTCAACATGCGGCTCTCGCCGTGGCGCCGCGCACATTCGTCCTAAACGTCTGCGACATGTTCAAGGATGGGGGGCGGTCTCTTTTCAAAATGTGGCTCTCGCCTTCGCGCCGCACGCATTCGTCTTAAAGGTTTGCAGCAGTTTCAGGGACGCGCACGCTCGAAGCCCCAGGAATGGTGCTCTGGCGCGGATTCGGACTGTCAGGACGTGCCAGTCACGTTGACCCGCAGTGTCCAAATCTCAAGAGCGTTGCTCGGGCACGACTGTCGGACTGTCGGGACGCAGCTGCCAGGTCAATCCGTGGCGTTGCAGTCGCAGGAATGGTGTTGGGGCACGGTTGAAGATTCGCACACGGTTGCCCTCTGACGGACCACCTCCCGTAGTGAACATACATTCGTTCAGGACCTACGAAGAGGGAACTTGGACGCAGGGTGGATTGCAACATCGTTGATACGTATTGGGTTTACAGTGGTCCTCCTCCGTTTCCTCCTCCCTCGTCCTCGTGCTCATCCCCCAGAGGCTACCTCTTCCTCCATCGTTCTCCTCCTCCACCTCCTTCCTCAACCTTCTCCTCCTTGTCGCTCCTCGCAGATGACGACGGCAGAATTGCGTTGCATTCCAGTGGAGTTGCGTCGTCCCACTCGAACTTCGGCCTGCACGACACTCGGAGACCTCAGCTGGACAGAACACAGAAGAGGCGGAAGAGAAAACAGCGCTGAGCAACACATCAAGCTCATAGAGGAGAGAGAGAGAGAGAGAGAGAAAACGAGCGAGAGAGATCGTAATTTCATCGCACACCGCAAAGGGCGCGGCCATCAAAGAGGAACGGACGCACGGCATCAAAAACATATGCAGGAGCGGAGCACCAAGCGTGACATGATGGCTTATCGCGGACGACTTCCCCTCATCAATCAGCCTCCCACCACATCCCTCGTCCTGCCAACCTGTCCGACTGCTTCCTCCCTCCTCCTCTTTTCCCCCCTACTCCGCTCCCCCACTGCGGCTGTACTGCCACTCACACCAGCCACCTTCTCCTTCCCTCTCCCTCTTCATTCCTCCGCTCTCCGTCCAACTCTGCCTCTCAACTCCCCGCCCTACAACCTCACATCGTGAAAACAATCGGACGCGGTGACCATGCACGACCGAAGGAGCCGGCAAATGCTCAATTGGCACCACTTCCTCAAGAGGCCATGTAGGAGGCAGGTAGTAGGGGGCAGGAGAGAGAAGGGGAGTAGCAGACAGGAGGAGAGGGACTCCGGGGAGAGAGGGGAGGATCAACAGAACAGTATTCCATAGAAAGAACTGCCCAACGCAAGAGGGCTGGGCAGCAACTAAGACGCCGTGAACATGCAAGACCGAAACAATCGACCAAGTATTCGCATGGAAAGGTCAGCTCCTGAAGGGAGGGGGCTCCCGCACGGGACTTCCTCTCAATTCACTCGGAAACAAAGCTCAAAAACTCACTCACGACTCAGGCCTCGAGATTCCAAACGTGACGACGGCTACGGTGTCCCATAAGCCGCTTGGATCAAAAGCGCTATTTCAAGACACCGTGGGGAGGAGCTCCCACTCGACAGTCCCTAGTTATTCACTCCCAGACGAGGCTCCCGCTCGGTACTTTCTCTATGCCAAGGCCTCAGGAGCCCAAAAGCGACGACTGATGCAAGATGTGTCTGGCCCGCATCGGAATAAAAGCATGAGGTGGGAACCGCACGAGGGAGGGGCTCCCGCTGGAGACCTCCTTGCAATTGCCTCACAGACTCCTTTTGCATACTTCCTAATAGTGAGTGGGTGTAGGTGTGGTGAGTGTGCACAAGGAAGTGCGTTAATGCGTGCGTGCGTGCGTGCGTGCGTGCGTGCGTGTGTGTGTGTGTGTGTGTGTGTGTGTGTGCGTGTGTGTGTGTGTGTGTTTGTGTTTGTGTGTGTATGTGTGGGTGGGGGGGGGTGCGTGCGTGCGTGCGTGCGTGCGTGTGTGCGTGCGTGCGTGCGTGCGTTCGTGCGCGCGCGTTTGTGGGTGTGTGTTTGTGTGTGCTTGTGTGTATGTGTATGTATATGTGTATGTGTATGTGCATGTGAATGTGTATGTGTGTATGTATGTGATTTCGGAGGGGGGGGGCGTGTGCGTGTGCGTGCGTGCGTGCGTGCGTGCGTGTGCGGGGGTCGTGGTGATTGTGGTTGGAGTGCCGGAGATGATGGTGACGATGCTGCTGTTGATGATGTTGAGTATGCTGGGGAAGATGACCATGGTGATGATGATGCTGATGATGGTGATGTTGCCAGTGATGATGGGCGTAGGTGTGCGGGAAGCGAAGGGGAGAGGAGGGCGAGCTGGAGGGGAGGTGGTCCCTGCGCGGGGCACCCAGAGGAAAACCATCCAAGCCAGGCTCCCGCTTACCGCCTACACCTCGGGAGGACCTGCCCGCCCGTCGTCCGTTCTTTTGGCCGCCGCAAGAGCCTGCCAATTTTCCATCCCGCGTCGTTTCTTGACGCTCCCCGGGCTCGGCGACGGCCCCCCAGAGGCCGAAACCAGCAACACAAACCTCCCGTCGTGATGTGTGCCACGACGCGATCATGCCTGGAGAGGGCGTTGAGGGACAATGATAAAGTGGGACTGGCATAGGGGGGGATGCATCGACATGAAATCGGCGATACATCATCCACAGATCGGCGACAGGCCCCCGAAGGGGGAATCCTCAGGTCCCAAGGCGGGCTGGGACTGCCGGCCCGTGTCGGAGATCAGCGGGCGATGGGGGATCGGTGCGTCCCCCCCCCCCTGGTGCACAGCCCCACCCCCGATCGCTGTCTGCGGCGGCACGGCGGCACGGGGAGAGCCGAAGAGAGGGGAGCAGGAGGAGCCGAAGAAAAGGGAGGAGGAGGAGGAGGAGGAATAGGAGGAGGAGGAGGAGGACGAGGAGGACGAGGAGGAGGGAGGGGAGGAGGAGGAGGGGGAGGGGGATGGGGGAGAAAAGGGCCAAGTGCTCTCCCTGCGCTGCAAGACGCGCGCGAGCCGCGGCGGAGCCCGCGCGCGCCCCACGGGGCGCTGGGTAGGGGCGCCAGCTCGGCGGGGGGGCGACGTGCAGGGCTCCTTTTGGCGGCGAGCGAGGAGGGGAAGCGAGAAGGAGGAGGCCTTCTTGGAAGGCGGCGGGACTTCTCAGAAGCCCTCGCGCCTTTTGAGAAGTTTGTTGGTTGTGTCTTCGGGGGAGGCCTAAAACTTCTCAGAAGGCCGGAGGACTTCCGAGCCTTCCGAGAAGGCCCGCCCCTTCTCACTCCCCCCCTCGCTCGCCGCCCTTGTTTGAGGGCAAGATGGCGAGAGAGGAACGAGAGATGAGGAGGAGGAGGAGGAGGAGGAGGAGCAGAAGGAAACGACGAGGGGAAGGAGAGACAGGAGGAGGAGCAGGAAGAGGGCGGGAGTGGAAGAGGTGAAGAGGAGGAAGACGGCGAGAGAGAAGGAAGTGAGGAGACGCCTTGTGGTATCCATCCTCCGGTGTCCTGCGTCCTGGTGGTATCGGGACCGTACCTCCTCCTCTCCCTCCCCTCTCCTCCTCTTCTTCACCTCCTCTCTCTCTCCGCGATGATGGGCCCAACAAGTCAGCCTGCGTCAAGAACATAATCCCGCGTCGATCCCACATCTGGGCGCTTCTCTGTGTTTGGGGGTCTCCAGGAGGCTCCTTGTCGGCACGGCTGGATTCGCCTCGTGATTCTGGTCGGAGCGCACTCCAAGAGAGATCCAAGTGTCGACTTGTTATCCGGACCCATACCAGTTCGCGTCGTGAGAAAGTTACGATGGAATGCTTCTCTTGTCGTTTCCACATGTTCGACCTCTGGGGGGCCTTGCCTGGCCCCGGGGCGGTCATATAACGATTCGGGAGGAGAAAGCCGGTGCTGGAGAAGTGTTCCAAGCCCCGGGGGGGATCCAAGGCGTGAACAAAAAACATGACGTCGGAGGTCTGGGGAGGAGAGAGGGAGGGGGGAGGGATGAGGGAGAAGGGGATGTGAGGGCAGGGGCGAAAGGAGGAGGGAAAAAGGTCGAGGAAGAAAAGGGAGAAGATGGGACGAGAGCAAGAGGAGGAAGGGGAGGAGGAAGAGGATAACCGTAATGAACCCAAGATGCATCAACGATGCTGCAAAACACCCTCCGTACAAAGGCCCCTTCTCGCAGGTCGCTACAAGCCTTGGCCACCTCAAGAAGCGTCCCCTTGCAAGACCACCGCATGGGGCTGTCATTCAAGCGAAGGCTCCGCTTTGGACAAGAACTGCCGTGTATCATGCGAACGCGTGGAAAGGAGTTTCAAAAAGGCGATGATCATGCATGTCGAGCGTGATGCTGGCCTTGAACGACCAAAGGCCGCCGCATCTGTGTACATATATATGTACAAACAGATATATGTATGTATGTTGCTGAAGTTTCCTCTTCTAGCCATGAGGTTAGATGGAGCCTCACACGAGAACCCAATTCTGAAGAGAGACCGCTCGGCATTCGTGCAGCTGCACCATCTTCTGAAGCTTCCGCCCTCCAAATTCATCTGAGTCTCAAGCGAACGCCCAGTGCTGACAAGCATGCGCCCTCTACGGTGCGCGGCGCCCTGGCTAGATCTCCAATTTGGAGACGGCCCACTCCATCGATTTGAAGCGGCTGGAACTTTGTACGACAAGTGTGCGCGGCGCGAAAGCACAACATCCAAGTTTGAAAACGTTCCGCCCTGTATCCTTGAAGCTGCTGCAATGCTGTTATGTAGGTGTGCGCGACGCTGGGGCCAGCCCCATTTGGGATACGATCCCCCTTCGTTGATAACGAACGCATGCTCACGGCGCTAAAGCGAGAGTTCCATGTTGAAAACCTCCCGCCCTCCGTCCTCGAAACTAATGCAACCTTCAAGCTTAACGACACAGTGGTTGGGAAATCTCACGCGAAGCGACCCCTCAACGTTACTGCAGGGGCGAGTTGCTTATACTGGAAAGGGGGAGAGCAGGAGGAGGAAGTCTTCCTCCTCCTCCTCCTGCTCCTCTTCCTCCTCTCCCTACTCTCGCCTCGTCGCCCTCCCTATCCCTTCCGCCCTCAGGGAATGAGGAGGCCGACAAGAGGAAGAGGGGGAGGAGGAGGGCGACAAGAAGATAGAGAGCAGGAAAACGATCAGGAGGACGAGAAGGAAGAGGAGTAGGAGGACGAGCAGGAAGAGGAAAGAGAGGAGAACCGTAACGGCCAGAAAGCGGAATAGGGTGATACGGAGGCCCGTAGAGGAGCGGCTCAGCTCGCAGTTCGCGGGCCCGACGTCGCTGTCCGCCGGCAGGAGCGCGCGCGGAGGCCTCGCTCGATCGCGGGGGGGGGGGGGCGAGCGGCGAGGAAGGAGGGAGGGAAGAGGCAGGGCTGAACCTAAACGGTGCTTTTTGTTTTCGTTCTGGTTTCGTTCTCCCTCGTTTTGTCTGCAATCCACTTCTAGCGCACAACGAGGTCAAAACGAAAACGGCCGACGAAATTACCAAAACACCATTTAGGTCCAGCCCTGGGAAGAGGGAGAGAGGGAGAAAGGGAGGAGGGAGGGAGAGGGAGAGAGGTGTCAGACGGAAGGGAGGGACGCTGCGAGCGGCCAAAGGAATGTGCCCTCGAAGGCGTACGCGCCAAGCGACGTACATCAATAGGATCCCAAAATAATGAGGCCGCCCGCGTAATGCGTAATGCGTTCTCCCGGAACCCGTGTGACCTCATGTAATCATGCGTGCGTCCTTGTCTCGATCCTGAGATAAAAATGGGTCGGAACATGAATAGAATCGGGCCGCACTGGCACGGAGCCGGAATCGAATCGGATCGGCTGCGCGAGGATGCACAACGGCGCCATACAAACATCGGGCTGGCCGGAATCGATACATATATATATATATATATATACATAGAATCGGATCGATCGGATCGTAACAAGCCCTGAGGTGCTGGGCCAAGGCGCCGCGTCGGGGGACGTCAACTATCTGATCCATAGTCCCTTCTGAGCCCATCTGGCATCTGAGCCATTCGGACTCAAGATCTAGGCCATTCAGTGGCCGAGCAAACTCAACTCCCTCGATTGCGTCAGAACTGAGCCCGTTCGGCTGCCCACTCGGCGGCCGAACGGGAGCAGCCGCCGAAAGGGCTCAGGAAAGAACCATGAGTCATGAGGCAAGTGCCTGATCAGGGCGCCGCGCTTGGGGACGTCCACTATCCGTCCCCAGACATCATCGCGTCGTGAAAATCATGAACTACGGTTTTGTGCAATGTCGGTATCTGTGGACCCTGGGACCATGACAAGAACGACTTGGAATGAGACCCGGGTTCTTTTCTTTGCCCATGGCTCACCACGTTTCGTTCGATCCGCCCAAATATCGAATGCCGTCGAACGTAGGGCACCGAATACTTGAAATCCTGAATGTTGAAGCCTTCGCAATCAACAAAAACGATGCGGCAGCTGGGCCGCAAGGCAAAACCGTAGTCAGATGGCGCGGCCAACAGCCAGCACCTCCTGCAAAAAACCCGGGGCACACAGCCCAACCGCCACGCGGGCGGTTCGCTCCAGACGGTGAGCCGGGCTGCGAGACTTGGTCGTGCAGGCACAGCCTACACAGGCGACCGTCGAAGGATTACGACGGATTCCCTGGATTATTCATCGCCTCCGATGGGCGACGATGCTCCTCCACTCAATGGACCAGCTTTTCGTAGCGAGTGATTGTTTATCCTCCTCATCCGCCACGTCCTCTCTCTTCAGCCCCGGCGGCGGGGCGCTCTGCCACAGCATCTCAGTTCCTGGAGTCCACAGGCATCATGACGCACTTCACCTCCGTGTAGTTCTCGAGCGCGTACTCGCCCTTCTCGCGGCCCCAGCCGCTGGTCTTGAAGCCGCCAAAGGGGGCCGCCATGTCGAAGTCGTCGTAGCAGTTGATCCAGACCGTCCCAGCCTCCAGCTTCCTGGCGGCGGCCAGCGCCGTGCCCACGTCGCGGGTGCAGATGCCCGCCGCGAGGCCGTAGTGCGTGCTGTTGGCCCTGTCGATCGCCTCCTCCAAGGTCTTGAACTTCAGGAGCTGCATCACTGGTCCGAAGATCTCCTCTCTGGCGATCTTCATCGTGTCCTGCACTTCAGTGAAGACTGTGGGTTGCACGAAATACCCCTTCGTGCCCAGTCGGCCCCCACCGACCGCCACCTTGGCGCCCTCGGCCTTGCCGGCCTCGATGTACCCAAGTACCTTGTCGAACTGAATTTTGTCCACCTGGGGGCCCAAGTCGCAGATGGGCACGTCGGTCTCCGATGTCACGTCGCCCTGCGTGCGCAAGCGCTTGGCCATCGCCACGACCTTGGCGACGAACTTGTCGTGGATGTCTTCGTGAACGAAGATCCTGCTGGAGGCGCAGCAACACTGGCCCATGTTGACAAACAAGCCAATGTGGCAGGCTGTCGCGGCCTGGTCCAGATCCGCATCCTTGCATATGATCATGGGGCTCTTGCCGCCCAGCTCCAGCGTCACCTTTTTCAGGTTTGTCTGGCCGGCGGCCTCCACGATCTTGTGGCCCACGGCGGAACTCCCGGTGAACGCCACCTTGCGGATGTCAGGGTGCCTGGCGATGAAATCCCCAGTCGTGGGACCGTGGCCGTTGACGACGTTGACGACGCCCGGGGGGAAGCCGGCCTCCTTGATCAAGTCACACATCAGCAGGCCCGACAACGGAGTCTTCTCGCTCAATTTCATCACCACCGTGCAGCCCATGGCCAGCGCCGGGCCGAGCTTCCAGGCCAGCATAAGCAGCGGGAAATTCCAGGGGATGATCGCGCCCACTACGCCGATGGGCTCGTGGAACGTGAAGCAGAACTTGCTGCTGGTGCCAGACGTGGTGGAAATGACCTTACCTCCGACCTTGTCGGCCCACCCGGCATAGTACTTGAAGCACTCGATCACGAATCCGAGGTCGACATCGTGAGCCACGTGGGTCGGTTTCCCGTTGTCCATGGACTCCACCTCTGCCAGCCTCTTTTGGTGCTCCTTCACCAGGTCGGCCAACCTGAGCAGCAGGTCGCGGCGTTTGCCAGCGTCGGTGTTCTTCCACGACTGGAACGCCGCCTTTGCAGCTGACACTGCCATGTCTACGTCCTCCTTCCCGGCCTCCTGCACCGAGAGAATCGTAGTCTCGTCCACGGGGTTGACGGTGTCGAACGTTTTACCCGATTTCGCGTCGACCCACTCGTTGTTGATGAAGAGCTGTGAGCGCAAGGGTAGAGTGATCCTGGCCTTCTTACTGGCGGGATGGGCGTCGTCGGTCATGATTGGAGGAAGGGGATGCTGTTTTGGGTGAAGGGCGGCGCTCGTGAGTTTAATGTTTGAACCCATATACAGCTTGAACCGAGATGGCGACACAATAAAAAGAAACCGGTAACTGGGAAAAGGTGCCGGGCTGGTTGGTGCCGACCCCACCAGAAAAAAGTCGTTCAGAAGAAGTGGGCAGAAACACGCATTTGGAAGACGTCATAAGCAGATTTGGGTTGCGGGATGCCCCCTGAATTCCAAGGATGGAGGGAAACCATTCTAATAGGGACGTTTGAAGGCGCTGGGGGTCCTGGGACATCGCCCTCCGAGGAGGCACATGCGACGGCATCGGACGAGAAGAACTGCCGCGCGGAATCGAGGAGGACAACTCGACAGCGAAGATCAAACTCCGATGTCTCTCGTTGCGCGCTCCTCTAATCTCTCGTGGCTACGGCTGGACCGTCATACAGAAGCTGGCCAGTGCGGATCCTGGAAAGGTCCAGAGATCGATGTCTGGCGGAGTTCAGAGGTGGATGGGAACTGCCCTCCGCTGACCTGGGACGCACAAGGACATGATAGTCCTATGTGTCCTCTTCGGACGCGTGAATCCGACCCGAACATACAGTACAACCACCGTGTAGTACACCAGTTCCCGACCGGTGCGACCAGAACACGCCCGCCAAGCAGCACAGTCCAAAAGATTTCCCAGCGCGAGCGTCGCCCCGGGGGCTGGGGGGGCGGTGCACGCGCACGCGCGGTGTTCGCGTGTCGGGGCGACGACGATAACCTTCCAAGTCTGGGAGGCGAGTTATTTCTTTGGCGCTTTGGCACTCAGAAGGTCAGGGACCCTCTACCCTCGAGAAAAAATAGCCAAACACCCTATGTGAGCGTCCCGGAGCCTCTGGGGGCTCCTGGGTCGGGGACGGGCCGACTCGGGTCAGCGCCAACTCAAATCAACCGAGGCCATGTCGCGAGCCCGTGCTGGTGTAGAGGCCGCGACTTATGGCCTGGGGAAGACTGTCCAAAGAATAATCGAAACGACCACCCCAAAACCAGCCCAGGGGGCCCTGGCCGACGCTCGGACGCACTCCAGGACACTCTGCCCATAGGAGCTCGACCACAAGAACCCTCCCCCAAGAAACTCAACCCTGAGACCCCAGGGCGTCCATTGATCCTTGGTGTAGGAACTTCACGCTTTCCATAGCAGAACCATCGAAGCACAAGGAACCCAAGGAACCCTGGAAGCAAGCAAGATATGTATTGGCATGGGTTTCCGTTGTAATTCTCACGCGAATAGAAACAAGGATAACCGGTGCTCTCTTGGAAAGTGTCGTGCCGCTAGCCAGCCGTGCCGCGCCAGTCATCACCCGGCTCACAGCACGTGGGGGTGTGGACGTGCGTATTTCCATGCGCGCTGCGGGACGTATAGCACAGACCAGGTGACGGGCTTGGTCCAGGAAATGCCTCCCCGCGGCCCAGGCGAATGGGGCAGGAGAGCTATAAAGGAGCTCGGGAAGGGGATGGACCCGACCAGTCATAGGGGTGGTGGGCTCCCCGTTCCCAGTCCACGAAGCCTCCGTCTTCCAGATTTGCAGGTTATCTTTCAGCAGAGCGGGATAGACTAGTCCGCGTCCCACAGCCGCCAGAGGAGGGAGTGATCGCTGAATGTCTCACTGCGGTGAAGAGGCGGGGGCAAGGATGCACACGCAAAAACTCTGCGCGTGACGCTGCGCTCTCGAACACCGACTCGCAGGAGGGCCTGCGTGGGCACGGCGCCGTCCTACCACGATGAGACACGAACGCGAAGCTGTTTTCCCAAATTCGGTGACAACCCATGGGAGCCTCCCCTACCATCTTGTCGGCTCTTGCGAATCGACGCTAATCGACGCCAGTAGACAGTGATCGACGCTAGATAGACGCTAACATCGGCGCCAATCAACGCTACCCGACACTCAATCGGCGGTATCTGATCGACTCCCCGACGCTAACCGACGCTAAAGACGGAACTAAGAGAGGGTATACAAGACTCCCATGAATTGCTGCCGAACCATAACATGTCGGAAGTCCGTGCGGATCTCTTAGCCCAACGCTAAGCCAGCCTCCCTGACATGTGGAGCGCGCCAGGGACGGCGCTGGAGGCACCGCCAAGGGGTATCCAGCACAGAGCCAATAAGTACAATGCGCGTTTTCGTATTCGGCGTTTCGACGTTGGGCGGAGGGGGGGGGGAGGGGTGGTCTGGCTGCGGACTTCTGCTCAATGCGACTGTTTGCAACAGTTCGTCCTATGAGGGAGACTCCACCTGCTCGAAAAAGGCGCCCCAAACAGCCACGATCTACTCCATGGGGGGGAGGGGGTGCGAGGACCCGCGCCAATCGACAAACAAAAAAAGGAAAGAAGACGATCACAAGCGGACCTCGAACCTGTTGTGTTTATGCAGATGTCATATTCGAAAAATGGCGTGGACTCTGGTTGCTGTCACCGCGTGACCCTTTTGGTCTCGAGTGACCTTCGCTGTCGGGTGTCGCCCAGGGCTGCCAGAGGCCTCCAAAGCTGAACTCCCGCGGCCGCGTTGCCGCCGCGCTCAGACGACACGGGCCTACTGTGCTACTGTACCCGACTGATCCCTCCTGGCCTTCCTTCTGTCGTATTCCCGACGTTGATCCAGATGGTCGCGCTTCATCGCTCGTGCCACGAAACGAACACAAACCCACGCGCGTTAGCCAAACAGACCCACGGGCGGCACGGGCACAGAACAAGCTGCGGCTGAGAGGCGGGTAGAGAGAAGTGCGAAAGAGTAGCCGAGAAGGGGAGTCCCAGAAGCTCCTCCTCCCCCTTCTCCTCCTCCATCGCAAGAAGTCCCTCGTCCATGGAGGACCCTGCTCTTCCTCCTCATCCTTCCCCTCATCGTCCCAGAAGGTCCTCCAGCTGGCCCACCCCCTGTCACTCGTCCTCCTCCCCCCATCTTCCTCATCCTCCTCCGTCTCCGCTTCATTATGCCAGGGTCGAAACGCAGACGCGTACCTCCCAAATCCAGAACCACGACCCCGCCTGAGGTCACAAAGCTACCCCCACGGCGTACGGAAAATGGTAAGGGAAACCATGGTTTCAGAGGGTGACTAACTAGGGGGGGGGGCGTAGACCTGGAACCGACGATGCAGCGCCAATCCGACATGTAGCAAAACTACCAGTTTCTGCTAGGCGGGCCACCCCGAGCCCCGATCGGCGACGCACAAGCGACAGGTGCCGATGCCACGCCCCCGGCCCTGAGCCAATCCGACCCAGTCGGCGCCCCTGGCACAAGGCTGCTCGCGCGGCGTACGGCGTACGGCAGGCCTTCGGCCACAAGAACCTCTACCAAAAAACCGATAGTATCCGGAACCCACGGGTTTCGATGCATCTTGGATTATCAGTGCACGACTCTTGGAACCCAGGAGGCGCAGAAAATTCGCGCGACACACTTGATGCACGCTCCCACTGGCGTGACCAACTGCGTGGCGCTCTGACCAGGACTCCGACGCAAGTCCGGCCGTGGCAACGAGGGACGAGCAGCGGCATCGGCACGGATTCCTTCTGTGACCCACTCGTGCAACAAATGCGGAGGGAAGCAGTGCCGATCCTTGCATTAACCTGCTCGCCAGCGAGGAGGGCTCCAGCGTCGCCGCGGCGTCGAGCTTCTCGACCAGCCCCGAAAGCCTGCCCGGCCCTCCCACGGCCTGCTGCCAGCCGCGTCAGAGCGCACACGCATTGACACCGAGTGCACCTACAAAATCACGCGGCGCCTAGAAACAAGCGCTTAGCCTGTGGCCTCGAGCGATCGCGGCCGAGAACGCGAGGCGGGATCCCCAAGGAGCAGAGGCTCCCTTGGGGCTTGGCGGTCGCGGTATGCAGCCGTCATTCGTCGAAGACGCGAGGGTGGGGATCCCCAGGGAGCACCGGCCTCCTTGGAGCCTGGCGGCCGCGGTACGCGGGGTGGGCGAGGAGGTTCGGGAGCCACTTCCTTAAAGAGCACCCGACCGGTCGGGTGGGGGAACCACGGCGTGAGCGGCGCGCGGAAGAGAATATCGATGTCGACCCCATCTCTGCAATGCCTCTGTCGACCGCGGTCGGTCCATGAGGGCCCCGAGGCCCGGCACCGGGAAACACAGCGCCTGTCGCGATTCTTTCGCGACGCCTGGGTGTGAGGACGAGGTGGAGGTGGGAGGAGGGCGGGATCTGACAGCATCGACTCGGGAAATCGGATCCGATCGGAGCGTGCGCCGCATCGGCTCGGTGTCGAAGTCGAGGCGGATCGGCCGCGCATGGATGCACAGCAGCGCCATGCAGAAAAGTAGAACCGGGTCGGATCGGGGCGGCCAAAATCGACATAGAGCCAGACGGATCGGATCGAACAGGACCCTGAAGGGCCACCCGGCACCCCTAGAACGCCCTCCGCGAGGCGCAGCTGCTGGAACGCATCCCGAGGCAGGGAAACCTACAGGAACCGTCGAAAACCGTGAACTTCAAAAACCTCGACCCTCAGAATGCAACTGGACCCCGCACTGAAAGGAGCCGAGGCATCGGAGGTGGGTGCTGCGCACCGCCCCGAGCGTCCTCCGCGCTCCGCCGCGTTGACCATGTCGCGAAATCGCAGGGCCGCGACCTCTCGGCGGCGCATCCAGGGGGCCAGCGGGCGCGGCTTAACCGATCCCTCTTTTGACGAGCCCCTTCCATGCTTAGAACGAGAACGAGGTCATGACCCGATCGGCTCCAGGAGTAGCCAGCGGCCCTCGTTCCGTAGCTGTCAGTGGCAACTCATGGGAGACTCCCATCGACGCAAACCGACGCTACGTCCGCGCTATCTCATCGACTCCCAGACGCTAATCGACAAGAGTCGACGCTAATCGACAGCATTACCAGGGCACACAAGGCTCCCATGACTTGCCACCGAAGCAGCTCGTGGGGCCATCCCGAACGACGAGCCCCTCGCCCTCGGGGCTCCCCTCCAGCGCGCCCCCGAGGCGACGGCGAGGGGGGCGGCCCTCTGAGAAGGCAGGGGGGCCCGTGGCCCTGCCCTTCCAGCACCCTCTCGCCTGCCGTCGCAACGTCGTCGCGGCACAACTGGGCGTCGCGACGTTTCGCTTGCGTCGCCTGGATCTGAAGGGACCCATACGCCCCACACGTCCGTAAGGGGCGGGGGCACTCGAGCTGCGAGGGACG